CATCAAAACACATCAAAAACGAATGCAAACGCATCAAAACGCACCGGAACTCAACGGAAAATATCCCCCCAAAAAAAGGATTAATTGTGCCATCATCTAGGGACTTCCTCTTTGTAGGTAGAAGAGATATTGGAGCCATGGCCGATGTGGATGCTCCAAAGCATCCCATCTACTAAAACGATCGGCAGAAGATGGAAAAGTGGAGGGAGATAACTGGCAAATTATACCCTGATTTTTCTGGTCTGAACAGGGTGCAAAAAGTAAAATGTGGCGAGTTCTCTTTCTCAGCAACTTTGATGTTTTATATACAGCCCAGCTAGATAGTTGTATACCACTCATGTACTAAAGAGTATGCAGAATAATCAGCCACCCCAATCTCCACTCCTCACATGTTGGTTAAACACTGTCCTCCTGTTTGCAGAAATCTGCCAACAAAGCAAGCATGTCTGAGCTCCAAAACAAACAAAGGAAATGCTCTTACAAGAAAAGAAAGTGACCTGATTATCTAATCAGCATTTTTAGTTGACAAAAAAACGCATCGGAACGCATCAAAACGAATCGCAATGCAACTGCGCAGACGCATGCATTTGTGATGCAGTTTCTGGTGTGAACTAGCCCTAATAAGTTAGTGTACTTGAGTGCATTTTTAAGATTTAACTCCTGAGTTTTGGGTCACTTTAAAGAACATGGACATGCCATGATGCCTTGCACTCTCTGTGGACTTCAAGCTGTAAGGCTCCATTCACACCTAGGCATCAGCGATTCCACGCGTCTTTCGTTTGCGCATGTTGTTGTGCGTTTCATCCCCTAAATAGATGCGCGTTTTGGACGTGTTTCTGGCATTTTGTTTCCCAGTGTGCTTTGCAGGTGGTCTTCCACAGTGTATATGCGTCTTAAAAACGCACGTTCTTTTTGCGCAAAAATGCGAGGGGAAAAAACGAACATGTGTTTTTGGCGCGTTTTACATCGAAATCAATGGAGCACAAACATGCTGGATCTGCCTGAAAGAAGCTCATGCACCTTTTCCAGCGTTCTTACAGCTTGCTGCTAAACTTTCAGGTGTGAACTGGGGCCATAGAAATGAATAGGAATTCTTGTGTTGTGAGTTTTCACGCTTAAAGTGACATTAAACCCTCAGATTTGTTTACATAAAACAATACTGTAATGTGTGCCTTACTGTAATCCATGGTTGTTTCCCTTCTCTTTGCTGCTCCACCTTTTAAATCCTAATTTCTTCTCATGCTGGGCAGAACTTCTGTTTTGCAGCGGACTGCCTTGTCTCAGGAATCGATATATGGTGTCTGTGTATAGGTTTGTAACCTGAGCCAGCACTACAGGAAGAGGCCTTCAGCTGCAAAGAGAAGTTCTCCCCCAGCATGAGAAGAAATTAGGATTTAAAAGGTGGAGCAGCAAAGAGAAGGGAAACAACCATGGATTACAGTAAGGCACACATTACAGTATTGGTTTATGTTAAAAAATCTGAGGGTTTAATGTCGCTTTGAGCGTCAAAACGCCCAGGTGTGAACAGGGACTAAGGGCTAGCGTGCAGTGCATCTTGGTGGGCAGAACAGAATAGTTATAAATCAGCCCCCAACAGTCTGGTCTTCCCCAGCCTGTGATTGGACAGTGAAAGGAGAAACAGCACGCCCGTGAGCTTATTTATCTGCCACTCTGCTCTATCCTCATGCTCCTTGCAGTGTAGAACAGCTGATTGGCTTTTTGTGCTGCTTCTTTCACCCCTAGTCTGAATGCTGTTGTACAATCACTGCAAGAGGCTGATAACAGGTCAAATTCGGGAGCTGCTTTAGTTTGTGCCTTTTATATCTGCCTGGAGTACTTCATCTGGGGCTCCAAGAGGGACAGAGTGAAGCGGGCGGTTATGTTTAAAGAGCCCCTCAAGGGTCGAAAGGGCGTCCCGGACATTGCCACCATGCTGAGGGTTTTCTTTGCTTGTAACTGCATCCGCAGGACTTTGATTAACAAGACTTTGGACTCTGCCGGGAACTCCATGTCCCGTTTTTTCCTCCTGCCTCTTTGGAGGTCTTTGGAATGGGACAAATAGGACACTCCTTGGTTTTACTTGGACACTTTCAAGTTCATCAGGGAGCATGGACTACATGGAGTTAAACCGGACTTGTGGAAGCCAAAGACTATTTACAAGCTCATCAGAGCTAAGGACACTGTTGAGACTGTTCCGGGCCTCCCTCTAGACACTTGCAAATTTGTCTGGAGGAGTGTTTCATCCAAGAGACTCACCAACAGGCACAAAGATCTGGCGTGGACGGCTATCCAGGGAGTGTTGCCCGTCCGGACTTTTATGCACGCCAGAAACCTGTGCAGACACAGGCATTGCCCCTTTTGCATCACCGAGGAGGAGACCGCTTTGCATCTCTTCTGGCATTGCCCTGTCGCACAGGCCCTGTTGAGGGCTCTGGAACACGAATTAAAAGACTTTGTGCCGCTGACAGCGATTACTCACTTTGGTGTGATGTATGGACTGTTTTGTGGCGCTTTTACAGAAGACAAAATCGGAGGCGCCTGGCGGTGATGTGTTGCTTCAAGGACGCTATTTGGTGCGCAAGGAAGCGCCTCACCCTCCGGAGGGAGAGGATGTCCACTGAGGACTGCCGCAGACTGATTATCAGTCTGCTCAGAGACTATCACCTCATGGACTTTAAGGAGGAAGAGGACGTCTGAGAAGATTTCCCCTTCCCCCCTCTCCTTTTTGTGTCTCTTGTCCTTCAAAAAAGCTTCGGGCCTGTGAACTCTTTCCCCCTCCCCTACCCCTCTTCCCTCTCCCCCATCACACCTGATGCTTTGTTGTTGGTTAATGTTTATGCTTGATGTGTTGTCGCGGCGCCATGTAGGACGTGAGGAACCTCAAGTTCCGCAAGTCAGACATCGCGCCGCAAGGTTTATTTAAGTTTTATTTAGTTGAAGGTATTTGATGTGGATCCTACGGACCACAGACTCCGTACGGGGTAATGCGGTGTCATGAATGACGTGGAGGGCTCAGGACTCTTGTCTTGCGCTACACGTCAGGCATCTCGCCGCAGTGCGAATGTAATTTATTGTGTGATTGAGCTGTATTGCTATGTGGTGTTTATGCGCTGCGTCGCAGTACGAGGTAGAATGTACCCCGAAT